CCCACAGAGACCCCGTAGACACCCATAGGGACCCACAGAGGCCCTACAGAGCCCCATAGGGACCCACAGAGTCCCCATAGACACCCATAGGGACCCACAGAGACCCCATAGAACCCATAGGGACCCATAAAGTCCCACAGAAACCCCATAGGGACCCACAGAGACCCCACAGACACCCATAGACACCCACAGAGACCCACAGAGGCCCCACAGAGCCCCATAGGGACCCACAGAGACCCCATAGACACCCATAGGGACCCATAGGTACCCCACAGAGACCCCATAGGGACCCATTGAGACCCCATAGACACCCATAGACACCCATAGGGACCCACAGAGACCCCATAGAGCCCCATAGGTACCCCATAGAGACCCCATAGAGCCCCATAGGGACCCCATAAGAACCCACAGAGACCCATAGGGACCCCACAGAGGCCCTACAGAGCCCCATAGGGACCCACAGAGACCCCATAGACACCCATAGGAACCCATAGAGACCCACAGAGGCCCCACAGAGCCCCATAGGGACCCACAGAGGCCCCACAGAGACCCCGTAGACACCCATAGGGACCCACAGAGGCCCTACAGAGCCCCATAGGGACCCACAGAGACCCCATAGAACCCATAGGGACCCATAAAGTCTCACAGAAACCCCATAGGGACCCACAGAGACCCCACAGACACCCATAGACACCCACAGAGACCCACAGAGGCCCCATAGAGCCCCACAGAGCCCCATAGGGACCCCCCAGACCCCCCCCTCCCCAGCCCCCCTGGTTACCGGTGGTGACGACGCCGGCGAACACCCAGCACTGGCCGTATCTGACCGGGGCCCCGCCGCGATGGTAGGCACGCAGGATCTCCACGGAGCCGGCCCAGGCAGAGGGGTTGGTGCCCTGGCTGTAATCCCCAGTCCAGTTCCCAACCAGAACCCCGTTGTCGTCCAGGGAGTTCACCTGTGGGGTGGGAAATGGGGTGAGGAGGGACCGAATTTGGGGGGGGGTGGGAGAGTGGGCATGAAGTGCTGTGAAAATGGCTGCAGACATCCATAAGTACCCCAAAATAGCCCCAAAATATCCCCAAAGACCCTAAATATGCCCAGAATACCCCCAAAATACCCATAGACACCCTTAAGTACCCTCAGATATCCCAAAAATACCCACAGACACCCCTAAGTACCCCAAAATACCCACAAAATATCCCCAAAGACCCCTAAATAT